TCATTGGTTAATTTCGCAAACGCTATGGTGGAACCAAACTACCCCTTGAAAAAGTTACGACGTAATAGAGGCCTATGTGTGCGTCCAACTCGAAAAAAGTACTTCTAGCACTAAATCACAGAAATTTATCCCTTTCTCTTCATATGGACTTTACAACATGGGTGGTCTCGTTGTACTTAATGATAACGTGGTGAATCGAGTAAATTAATTACTTTCAATTACCGCAAAGATGCTGACATATAGGCAACATCGTGCCTCAATCGCTACTTGAGCTCGGATCCTGTTCTTTCTAAGCAAGCGTGTTAACTGGACAGTACAAGGGCCATGCTCAGTGTTTAGTCGACATTGGACTATGGTCTATTTGCCATAGCTCGAACTTAAAGTCACGGGTCGCGACATGTGTTCAAAAAAGATTTCCCCATGAGTGAGGTAGCCGAGTCCACAAACACAGAGGTCGTGGCACTGTCGCTACGAAACAAGGGCGGTAACGCCACCCCTTCGACCGCTGCTACCGCTGCCATTCTTACTATTCGCAATATACGTGGCGTCTACGTCCTCTCATAAAATGTGCTCTATCGCGTTTCCCCTCATCCCAGTGCAGTGTCGCTTCATCTTGCCACGGTTGACGTCACAGGAGAGAAAGACTGATTCCGTGTTTCCTATGGTCCCTTTTGCAGATTGTCCTATTCGCGGATATTGTTGCGTTTTCAAATGAAACAACGGGCTAATTCGATCGTGACCTGTGTCTTTAATTTACCAACATTTGAAATGTTGCAATAAAAAATCAGTTTCAAAAGAATAGCAAACTGTACAAAAACGCGATCGCGTCCGCGGTAACGCCCACCCCCTCTGTAGAGATGGAAACCACGCATAACCTTTTTGGCGCTATTCTAATCCCTAAAATCCCTGAATTATATTTTTCGTCAGAATTTCGTCTATAAAGGTAATCATTATAAAAAATCATTTTCGGCCCCAGCCACGTTTAGTGCAGTTTTGCGCCAATTCGGTTCAACGCCTGAAGTTCAGCGAATTTGCTGTAAACAAGGTAGGGGTTATTCAGTACCCCGTTCACGAATATGACATTAATTTTTGGTGCCAGTTTCGTTCAGGCCATTTTTGCACAACTCGGCAGGATAGGGGCAAAAAACTGGCGCTAAAGGACTCCTTAAACGAAAGTGAACTGAAATCCACATTTTTGATCAGAACACTGAAATATCCCCACAGACGCAGTACCAGCTGTGGTTTTTTGACCATTTTGGTTCGGAAGGTATTTAGTGTTCGTTACGACTGCCTGAGATTTTCATATTTTACCAACACCTTTTTTTTGCCGGATAACTTCATACGAAGAGGATGTGAGGAAAAAGTTTGGGAACTAGAACAAATTTGAATTTAAATTTTGACCTTTTTTGATCATTCAGCCAATGCTTACCTTGGTTGCTGAGATTTCATTACACGGTCCGTGTCGACGCCAGTGCTGCTGACCACGTCCGCAGCCGGTACCGCCGCCGCCTCTTCGGCACTCACACTTCGATGCTTTTCACGAGCCGTTTTGTTCGCGTTCGTTGGAGTCGGAACTCCACGAGGATTATGTAGAGAAATCGGTGAATTAACGGGTTTGAGAAGACCTGAAATTTTTAAAAAATTCAAATAGGTGAAATAGGCCGTTAACTATGAAACACTGTAAGGGAACGTCTCG